CAGAGCTCTGCCCTGAGGAGCTTTTTTTTTAGCTTAAATTAGGCAGCCCAAGCATTAACAAGCCAGGATAACAAGAGTGTCTAGAATTTAAATACTAAATATTGAAAAAAAAAAGTAGTGCTTGAGGCCACAAGTCATCCTTTAATTGACAGCAGTTCAAAAGAAACCTTCCCAGGGGTAAACCATTTCATAACTGCCTGCTGCGGGTGTCTCCTCCATCCCCCTGAAGCATCTGGCTCTGGCAACTGTTAGAGATAGAACCCAGAGCGAGATGAGTCGGTGTCTGAGCCTCCCGGGCTATTCCTTATACGGCTCAGGTGTGACAGTGACGAAGGATGGCCCCCAAAAACGAGGTGATGGAAAGCATAAGGGAAGACCAGAGAAGTCCGCTCAACAGCAAAAGGCTGGGCAAGGAAGGCATGGCAAAGGGTCAGGGCAGGAAAGTCTGAGCTAGCCATGAGTCAGGCACTGGATAAGGATGCTGGAAACCTGGATTCCATCCCAGCCTTGACCTTGGACAAGTGCCTTTGTCTCCACTGTGCCTACTTCCACCCCCAAATGGTGCCTGCCTTCATTAGGCAGATTGCAAAACTCTTCAGGGCAGTAACTGGCTCTTGCCAGTTTGTGCAACACTGCTCACAACAGGAGCCCAGTCTTCACTGAAGTCCGCTGGGGTTGTTGCAATGCAAAAGAAGAAAAGAAAAAAGTGTAAATACTTCAAAATCAGGAATAACGTTCAAAGACAGACACCTGCAGGGAGTTCAAACACGTGTCAGCTAAAAATCTGATTTCCAGTGTCACTACTAATTATTACTTGCAAGAAAAAACCTTAAAAAAAAACAAACTAGACTTTGAATGATCATACAGAATGTCTAATAATACTAATAACGGATAGCCGGTAGATATTTTTTGCATTAAATATGCTTTAGTTGATAAAAAAATACAACTTTTCAGTATTTTCCCTCTTCTTTTCTGCAAAATTTTTCATGATTTATTTTTTAAACAAAATTAGCAGTGAAGTTACTACTGAGCATTTTTGCTCCCTGCAATATGGACTTTCAGTAAATGAAATATCTCAAGAATCATTTTGCTAACAAATTTCATTAAAGGATGCTGTGGCCTATTTCGCAAGAAATGAAAAAGACCATTCTGTACCCTGCACAATGAAAATAACTTTCAAAGTTCAAAATTTGATGAAGCTCTTTTCCCGTTCCGAGGCCTGTTCTATTTTTCACATCGTGTTGACAAGGACTATATGAGAAAGAAATTCATTTTCCATCATCTATTCAGTCTCTGGCCACTCTAACGATTAACGAGAGTGTCTGTTTCGGTGGTGTTTTCTTGTTAAATAGAAGCGCATCCCATAGAAACAGAACTCGAAACTATCAAATCATTTCATAACCAACAGATGGTAACAGCTATATAAGCTGGTTTTAACCAGCAAAGTGAAGGTAGAAGCTGCTGTATCGTGATCAAATTCTGTATACTATATCCGTCTTTTAAGATTTTTCTCTCTGAAATTTCCATGGCCAATTTTCAGTAAAAGATACCAGAGAAGGACTTTTTTCAGAGAAAATCCTTCTCTGTAGGCAGGGACTGAAATCAGCTCTCTTTTTTTTACAGATATTTTTTGACAACAAAAGTTTTTTTTATCTCTCCCACAAAAAAAAAAAAGGCATCTCAGGCTTTTATGCTATTTTATCAAGACACCTGAAATTTATGATCAGTGCATGTATGGACAGATACTGTGTGGAATAAACCTGTTGGCATTTCCCTTGGCTACCAACCTTTCTTATTCAGTGAGAAGTAAAAAAAAAGAAAATCAGCCTGGGAATACAGTGGATTTATTTTTTAAATATCAGTGTGGAAATATGCTTCAGATTACAAACAGGCCCAGTCCCCCGTTGCGAGGAAGGCATGCTGCAGGACTAGCTGATCCCAGTGACTTCCCCTAGCGCTGCCACATCAGGAACTGACAACATTGATCTGGACAGCTATTTGAAACTCAGCATAAAAAGCAGGAGGTATTCAGGAGACAAAGGGAAAAAAAAAAAGCTAGAGTCCCGTTTTTCTGCCACCTAGAAAAATCCTTTTGACATAACAAACTGCTGTTGTTCAACTGGTCGCTGCCTGCCTCGCAGTAATCCCCACCTCTTTGTGCATCAGGCTCCAAAACTGCTGAGCAAAATGTCACGCAAACACACCGATAAAGCCAGCTTACACCTCCTGCTGTGCTCTGCCTTGCAATTAAGTTCTTGATTAGGAAATATATTTTTAAAAAAATCTTCTTCAAGGTAAATTGAATTTCGTGTTTAAAGGTCCCCCTAACTTAATTACCCAACACACAGAAACACAGAAGCAGCAACAGGAAAAAGTGGAAAGATTCATTATAGTTTTTGAAATGCAGATGACTCCATTCCTCAACACAAGAAGGATTTCTCAGGATTGTCCTGATGATTTATAAAGTCATTAGTTTCAAAGCAAACAAACTTAGGAAGCCTGGAAGGCTGCAGGGAGCAACACAATTTGGGAACCCAAAATTTCTACATCCCACGTTACAATTTCAGCCAAGCAAAAGGCACTTCTCTGCCCTGGCTAAGTGCCTGCCAAGAGGGCTCCCCACTCCAGTGCTCCCCGCACTAAATCTTTCATCATCACTAAATTCACAGGGAAGAAAAGAGAAAATGTGCTAAACGGAGACAAGCTGGTAGCATCCTCTCAGAATTGCCCCTGTCCCTCAAAATTGTTTGTCGTCTCCCAGAAAGTTTCTTGAGCTGACCTTAGAGGACGCTGCTCCCAAACTGCCACAGAGAAAAGGAAGTATTTGCAAATGCTTCCCTTTAGCCTTCCTTTCTTGAAATACAGGTACCTGGAAATGCACGTAGCAGATTACAAAGCACCCGTTGCCCCATGCCACTCGCTGGTCACATGTTAAAAAGCTTTCAGGTACACACAGAGCCCCCAAAAGTCTGAGTTCAGGAAACTTTCATCTATACGACATTTCAATATACCAGCATTTTTCAGTTCTGTGTACAGGAACTCCTGTATAGCTGTGGCATTCCAGTAGAGGTGGGGGTGTTGATTGCAACACTCGGGTGCATCTTATTAGCTGGACAGTTTTCATCATGTGGGTTTTTTTCTTCCACCTCATCTTACTAAAATGATTCCATTGTCCCCCTTCCTTAGTCTTAACTTTTAGTACACTACCAGCAAGCCATGAAGAGCAAAAGTATTGTGGGAAAAAATATATACACACACACACTATACATATATATACTATATATATGTGTAAAGCCATTATGCAAAAGAAAGCAACAAAACAAAAACAAAGAACAAACAAAAAACAGACCCTGAGCTTTACAAAAAGCTGCATAACCTGTCTCTGTGGCTGGAGGAATTGAGAGAAACAAACACGCTATCTTTGGATTACTGAGGACTGAATCCATCTATGAGAAAGCTGCAATATTTTACTTATCAGTACTCTCTCACTGCCCCTGCAAAATACAGAGTGGCTGTTGTATATCAGTCCTCATCAGCAACTCTGAAGATTATAGGTATGTATATATATTTCCTATATATATGCACACATTTGTATACACATATATACCTTTTGATATCTAACCTGTTAGCGAAGTGGAAATCTGCTCTTTATTGCTTGTAGGCACAGAAAGGAAATCTTCCCTATATTTTTTAAACACACACACACACACAAATAAAAAATAAAATAAAATAAATGAAAGACGAATACTTTTTTCTATATACCTGCCCTAAAGGAGGCAAGAAGGGGGAAATGGGGATCCTGTGCTCTGTCCTAATTTTTTTTTTTCTTTCCAACTCTGCCTGCAGAACAATCGCCCTTTCCCGGGGCTGGGAATGTATCCGTAGATTCTTGAGGGAGCACTGCCACCTACTGGGCAGTGGCACTGCCTCGCGTTGTTAATGCGGAGGGAAAACGCTCTGGTACCGCTTCTGGGTATTGGGAACAGCGGGAGAAGGAGCCTTCGGACCAAAACGCAGCCCGAGTTCATCACTAGAGACACCGGGCCCAGTGGGCAAAGGTGGGCGAAGCCTCAGTGCGTTTGGGGCTGTTTTTTCGTGATTTTTTTCATCCTCAGACTTTCTACCAAGCAGAGCTGGTGAAAGAGCTATTCCAGCTCGCCGGGGAATACACAGAAGTCCTCCGGCTCCCGGAGCTGGGGATGTTTTTGGCCCTTTCCCCTTCCTCCCTCCCTCCTATTTCCCGTTTCTGGTGCCTGCTCTGCAGGGCCCGAGGGCGCCCGCAGGGTCCTCCACAGGCTGTGCAAGACGAGCTCAGCGCCCAGGACAAGGTCGGGCCGGTGGCAGCTCCGCTTGAGCTCCCACTGCTGCTGTATTGCAGGGGTGAGAAAACGCTCCACCGGGACGCGCTTGGGCTGCTCACTGGGTAGGCGGATTCGTGCCTGGGACTCCAGGCCTCCGTCTGATAAAAGAGCGAAATAGTAGGATTTGGAAAGTCAAGAGAAAAAAAAAAAGCTTAGTAGAGGAATAGGATTGAGGGGAGGGGAGGGTATTGCCCAAGTTTTCCACACATCCATCCTATTCCGTGACTGATTCCCTACATGGCCACCTGCCAGAGTGTAACGTTTTACATCCAAATGGGATTTTTTTTCTTTTTTTTCTTTTCTTTTTTTTTTTTTTTTTTAAGTCAAATTACACTACCATTCCTCACCATTACTGGAAGATCCTTAACAGCAGCACCACATGTGAGCTCACCAGACCGCAGGCCTGCTCCTGCCTTGGGACCCCACAGAGCAATGCTGATCTGCCCTCCAAGAAGATGGACACAGACCTCAGGTAGTTGAGGCCCTGTACTAGGATCAATAAAAGCAAGAGTTCTGGGGAAAAAGGAAAGGAAAGGAAAGGAAAGGAAAGGAAAGGAAAGGAAAGGAAAGGAAAGGAAAGGAAAGGAAAGGAAAGGAAAGGAAAGGAAAGGAAAGGAAAGAGCAGTGTTGTCTTTGGAGTGTTTGTGTGTGCACGTGTGTAATTTCCACGGTAATCGTGCCTGCTGCCTGTGGCCATGCATCCATTGCCACGGCGGGTAAGGGAGCCGCCGGCGTCACTGCACGTCGCACATCCCTCGCCACCACCTGGGCTGGTAACACATAACCCAAAACACCACCAAGCCAGGAGCCTTTCTGGAAACCAAATATAATGTGGCAGCTGAGACAATGGAAAACAAATTAATGATTTTTTTAAGTGCTTTTTTTTTTCTTTTTTTTTAGAGTTGTTAATCGTTTTTCTTTGATACCTCGTCCTTCTCTGCTTCCTCTTGTGCATGCTCTGTCAGCACTTGTATGAATCCTGGCCCACAACCGCAACACTGATGCAGGTCCCAAGGGCAGAACGTCCGAGGAACAAGTGAATTAGTCCTCGCTGAACCTCCCTGCCAGTCCCGACAGCAGCCCACGGCCTGGAGCAGCAGGGGCAGCACGAGCAGCCTGGCTGTGTGCTGGCTGTGCCGTGGGGAGGCCGCTGCAGAACCCTGTGGAGAGCAAGGGGGCTGCAGTCATCATGAACGGGCCCTTGTGTCAAGAAGGCAATGGGGAAGAAAAGGGTGTCGGAGGGGGGGGAGCTTTCAGGAAGAAACAGAAAATAACGTTTTGCAATTACGGTGTACAGCTGCTGCCGCTCCGGCGCGTGCTGCACACAGGTGCAGCTATTACAGCAATGAATAGCACGCACTAAAGGTGCCGTCCGCACGGGTACCAATACAAGGACTGAAAAGGTATTTTCATTTTCAGCCTGATGTTGAGAAGAGAGAGAAAAAGAAAAAAAAAAAGAAGAAGAAGAAATAAGGTGTCTCAATGCCATCTCTGCCTGCTCGCAGGCTCTGGAGCATTAGGTGAGCAGGTGGGCATCGGCAGAGATGCTCCTTGTACCATTGGATTGGGAAAAGCCTAATGATTCACTGGGAATATCCGAGTCAACACTACTAGGCTGTAGCTGGCAGGAAAACAGGCATTTTTTTTCCAGTTTGCTTGATGGGAGGAGACAGCTTTCAGATGTTTCTTCACTTTGTTTCATTGAAAACACCAAAACTGAGGCAGGGCTGGTCATTTGTCCACAGCTTTGTTTGGCCCTCGAACCCTATTGCTATGGGCAGGGGCGCTTCTCATTGCAAGGAGGAAGCTGCCCACTGGAAGCAGGGGCTTCACAACACACTGCTGCCAAAAACATAATCTTTGCAGACTGCTTTACGTCTCTTCCTCTTTCCCAAGTGGGAGTTACGATAAACGTTTAGCAGAGAGCTTAGAAGAGTCAACAGTGAGAAGCAGCAAAGGGGTTACCCGCTGCAGCCCAGCACCTTGCCGCATCTCTTACTCATCTGTGGGCCACGAAGCATTTTTGTGCCTGTGCCAGAGTTGCCTAAAGGCAAACATAAGCTCTCTGAGCCCAGGTTTCCCTTTTCTTCCCAGGACTTATAGCGGCTGCCCAGAGACCCATGAGCATCTCCAGGTCACAAGCCCCTTGGCTGAGCATGTAGCAGGAGCCTGTCTCACATTTGCAAGGACATCCTCAACACACTTCATCCCTGCCATTGCTGCAGAGCCTGGAGATGGTTAAGGGGGCACAGAGCTGGTGGCAGGATTGCCACGCTCGCATTTATCCAGCTCCTCAGCCACATATTGAGCCCTGATTGAGCTTGGGGCTGCTACAGAACTAACTTAAAGCTAACATAAGAAAGTCAGTCCGAGCTGCTGCAGCCCTTTGGGCTTAAGTTCTGGTGACTGTTTTTTTTTTTTTTTTTTTTGACCTTGCAAAGAATAGCAAAAATGCTGTGCAATCAGTTACTCCAGCTCCGGGGCCTCTCACAGGCTTTGCACAGGGAAGTTGGTGCACAAATGGCACAAATATCTCTGCCCTGCAGAGACTGCCTCGTCCAGCACTACGCTGGGCAGGGCTTCTACCTTGGAAGAAGTGCAGCCCTGTCCACTGCCTCCCATCATGCTGGGAAAGGTGCTTGATGACTTCAGACAGTGCCATGAACTTGCTGAAGAAACAGGCAGCACTGGCACCAAGGCGTCTCCAGATTCCTGTTTGGATCCCAACTCACCAAGGTAGGCAGAACCAATGCCTTTTTATAGGTCCTAAAATTGAGGGAGGCATTAAAATTAATTTGAAATATCCCAGGAAGCTGGCATCATGAAAACAAAAGCGGATGGATGCACTGGCTGCCATCCCGGTGCCCTGGGTAAGAGCGCGGGCAGCGAGCTCAAGAAAAGCCGGAGCCTGACGGTGAGAAAAACAAAACTGCACATCCTGCTCCAAGGAGGCTCCCAGGCAAAGTGGCAGCATGGAGGAAATTACAGTGCTTAACACAGGACCTCGAGTGGGCAGGGGAGTGCAGAAGATTGAAAAAGGACCCAGGATTTGATTTTCCACTGTCCTTCATCATCAGCAGTCATTTTATACCAGAATAAAGAGGGAGTGCGATTGTAATAGCACAGGACAAGTGCATTTGATGCTGCCTTTCCCTCTGTTCTTCCGGCTGCAAAGATCCCAGGGAAAGGGTGAATCAAGAAGATGTATCCCTGGCTTCTGGGGCTGGGAGCCTAAGCCAGGGCATAGCCCATAAGAAGCAGAAAAAGTGAAGGAGGGAAAGGGAAAGCACCAAGAAGAGCCAGCACATTTACCTTTGGCTTGAACAAAAGAAGAATAAACCAGGGACAATATCCAGCAAGCTGCCACAGTAAAAGAGCATGTCTCCTCTTAGTTTACAAGTTTTACTGTGATCAGTCAATCATCTCTTCTAATGCCAAAGACATACCTGACTAGACCCTTAGATAATAAAATATATATATTTATATATATAAATATATACAAGCATATATATATATATATATATAACAGGCAAAAAAATCTAGCTAAGCCAATCAGCAGCTTTTTGCAGTTGTGTCAAAGTTTAGCAGCCTGTGAATTGTCTGAGCATTTGGGATATGTCCTGCAAGGTGCCACCACCACATTTCAGGCAGCTCGTTTTCTCCAGGGAAAGGAGAAATTCTTGCTCGTGATCCCTAGAAAACTCATTTGAATTAAGATGCTCATTGCTCTGATATTTACTGGGAAGAGGAGTAAATGTCTCTCAGGTATGACTTCACATCCTCAGATCCAAGGAATACCAACCCAAACCAGTGAAGACATTTTCAATACTGGTAAATTAAGCTGATTTCAAAAAGCTCCGTATGACTTTGAGGATTAAAATAACGTCAGAAGGAGCATTTTAGGCATTTATTTCCCTTGGTAAGTTAAAAACAGAGGCATTTTTCTGAGATGCATTTGCTGCATCAAGGTCAGAGCAGCTAGCTGAGTTTTGCATGTTGTGCCTTGCTGTACTGCACAGTCACAGCCTGCAGTTTGGCTAGATACAAATAAATCAGAAGTGGCCAATATAAGGACGACAAAACCCTTCAGAGGTTTGCCAAAATGGACAGCAATCCCTTGCAGAGCCTGTGATACCTTTCACACCTGTGTAATTGCTGGCCTCTTTCCACAGCCGGTCACCACACGCAGCCACCGAACCTGTCTCCATGTAACCACTGCTAGGCAAAAGTCCTCCTCTGTGCTGCTCTGCAGTCTGCACAGCAGCATTGCTCCACTGCATAGGTTCTCCCATGGGTTGTACTTCTATGAAAAGGGAGTATTTTCTGTCTCTAAAGCGTGGTGTTTCACGAAGGCATTAGGATGCATAGACGTATATCTTAACTATGTATTCACGTTGTGCTACTCATCTTTGTTTGGCTTAAACTTCTAACGGAGCGTAAAACTGGGCAGCATTTGAAGGAATAGGATAACTTCTACCTGAAGCAAAAAAGCAAACTGACAAAACCAGAACAAAATTTAACACATAGATCTTCTAGTTTATTGTTTATAAAGAGGATCAAGTCAAAGAGGATTTTTTTTTAATATTTCAATATGCAGAACATTCTTCTAGCTCAGATATACTTATCTCCTGGCTTACACACTCTTGAGCAGAGGCTCTGAGTTCATTGGCGTCATTAGGGGATTTTTTCCTCAAGTCATTCCCATTAGAGGAATATTCAATTTAGAAACTTCCTTCCCCCCAGCCAAGGTCGCATGTGAAATCTGTGGTTAAGATCCCTCCTCACTGAGTTTCAGGTCAGTGCTCTATCCACTGAAGAGACAGAGATATTTAAGAATTAAATACTCCTCTAGGCTATGTCTGTACTGCAGAGCCGAGGAGCGCTCACCAGCCCCGGGAATGGGATACGTGCCCTGACTGTCTTTCCGATCCACTACAGCGTAGAGCCCACTCATCTGTCCCCACACTCCACTTCCCATAGGGAAGAAACCTGCGTTCAGGAACTGGCAGGGAGGAGGGCCGGGAGGAGCCTCATCTCATGGTGCCTAAACATTTTTTTTGCAATTCGTCATCCACTTCAGACAAATATTAGCACCCAAGAGCCAGAAGCAGGCAAATGCAGGATTAGGTAAGGACGTTTCTTTGCCTTTACTAAAATGACACAGTTCTGCTCAGTGAGAGTAGGAAGCAAGTTATGTTTCCATTCCCAAGCTTTCAACATTAAGGATTAGCTATCCACCATCCAGAAAACAGGGAATTAGTCTTTCCAGGCTATGCGTTTAACAGAAAAGAAATGAATCTTCATGAGCTCAAGACATATTCCCTCTTCTTCTCTTAGCCCCTCACCCGCTGCCTCATATCTCTTCTATGCAGTTTTTCAAATAGTTTAATAATATTCACAGGGACATTAGATTAATTGGATTTTAATTCCAAATGACTGTGAAAGCAGAGAAGTGAGTCACCAGTCCATGCTAATGAGAAGATCTATTAAGGACCCTTCTCTGATAGACACATAGAGTAGGGTTATAAATATTTCATATTCAATTAATTGAATTTTGCCCCCTGTTATATGATGCTGTCCTGGAATGTTAATCAGCTGGGACCAAAGAGAGAGAGAGAGAGGAAGAAACAGAGAAAAAATTAAAAGAAAAG